AATAATATGAAAAATCAAAATGACAGGGTCTATTTTCAACAGAGACACTTAAAATGATTAGTTTTAGCTTTCCTGGTTCAACCCCCTAGGAGAGGTTGGTGTTACCTACCCTAAGAATGGCAAATGGGAAGGAGGGTCAAATTGCACATCATTTTGAAGTGCATTCAATTTTCTTTCCAAGGGCATCCTAGTTTACCATTTTCCAAAAAATGCCATGTCAATTAGAAGAGCTTCCACCCTCAATATCTTCCTTCCAGTAAATGATATAAAAAATCTAAAACACATATCAATCTAATTTTCTATGAGGACAATTAAATAGCATATTTTTAGTCAATTTGGTTTAACCTTCTAGGAGGGGTAGATATTACCGGATATTACCCTTTGAACCTCATATGAAATTACAGAAGTAATTAGAACATCCCAGCACTGAGATGCATGGGTTTCAGGTTAGAAGGTATCCACTCCTTTCCACTCCACTCCAAAATGGTATAATACTAACCTGAAAACCATGCATCTTGCAGGAATGTTCTGTCAGAAACTGCTCATTGAAAAATGATAAAGTAGGATCATGAAGTAGGATACTGTTGGGAAGGCAATTGAACACCCTTCAAAATAATGTGCATCTTGACCTGCTTTCAATGTAAGCTTCTAAGGGTAACATCTACCCCTCATAGGGGGTTGAACCAAGAAGTCTAAACTAATCATTTAAAGTGTTCCCCTGGTAAATAGATTCGACATGCCTTTTCAATTTTTCATATTATTAACTGGATGAAAGATATTGAGGGTGGGAAGTTTTCATATGAAATGTTTATGATTTCAACATACCTACCCTCCAGATGAATTTGAACCTCAATTTGAACAAAAGATTTATAAATCACTATTTTACAGTAAATCACCCAAACCTGCTTAAAATACTATGCCAGAATAACATGCATATCCAATAAACAAATGTTTTCAAAGTTGTCAAGTACATACCTTGGGGAACATTCCATGTCCTCAATAAAGTTCCCAAAATTCCTTCAGACATCTTATTGGTAAGAATATGTAAGTGTATTGGATTGACCCCATAGAAGAATAAGGACTTAAGAAGTGTATGGAAGTATAAATGAGCTTTGTAACCTGAACAGACCATGCCAATATGGATTGTGTCACAGGGGTCATCAGTATTAGATGAAATTTTTCTGACAATGCTGAAATCATTCTTTGGGAATTCATTATGCACATTTTCTTTGGCTTTGCCTGGAGAACGTACACTTTGAGCTGGAATGATTGTTAAGAGGTTTATATCAATTTCTATAAAGTAGGTATCAGTAGATTTAGATACATACCTGTATAAAATCTTGGAAATATGTTAATGAATAAAAATAATGCTATAGTAATCAGCAATGGAAAAATCACCCATTGTCTCGAAAATTTGTACATATAAACATGATGCCTCTTTAAACGAATTGTTCAAACCTTTTATACTTTGAATTATACATTGGCAACAAAATCACAGATTCTAAAAATGAAATTCAGAATGGAGCTACAATAACTGCATAATATGGAAGGTTGGTAAATACTAGAGGTACTTATTTCCCTTGAATACACTTGAAGTATTCTTTTATTGTTCACTTAAAACATCAACCTAATGAAATTTAAATTTAACAACATAAAATTGACTATCTCCTGTATTGTGTTGGTTTATTATTATCATTGAATTATTGTTATAAGATTGTTATTCGGGTCGATTCTGTTCGGATCTTATTATAACATTGCTAAGATAATAATATTATTATGATCATAACATATAACAATATTGCTATGAAGTTCTGTATTCTGTTTGCAGAGTAACTGCAAGACTGGTTATAAGTTCAAGTGATAGCAATATTGTTGAAAAATTGAGAATTTTTGAGCTGACAACACTGTTTTCAACTAATTGTTCAAGTGTTAGGTATCGATTTTGCCATTATTTCATGAAGAAGAAGAGTTCAACCTCTCAAATTAGTCAGTCCTGCGACCTGACATTTTACAAAATTATATTGTTCAAATCGAGAGATTTTGTATTTGCTTAATCTGGTCGTCGTTGTGCGACTGGTGCAAGTAGGTAATCAATCATGTCCCCGAAATGAAAAAACAACTAAAAGCCGGATGAAACAAATTGTGATTTTTTTTTTAATATTCTAGCAAAATAGCTTGATAAACTATCCATCAGGCAACTGAAATTTCTCTGATATGCCGAAATTGTAGTCTCATATTTCCTCTACAAATTGGAACTTCAAGAAGAGGTTTTCAAGTAGTTGGTCACAGTACACAGCAGTGAACCTATCCTATATGTTCGTAATCACCAAGTTTTTCAATAATTCTTCTACGAATTGAAACTTTGAGGAAAGGTTTTCGAGTAGTCAGTGACACAACTGAACTCTCATATGTTTTTAATCCACTATATTCTGAATTTTCATACAGTTGGAAGAATTTGTAGTGTAAAAACAAAGAATCCACTACCTTGTTATCATGCAAATAGCAAGCACAAAATTGATGTTGCCAAGATAGCAAGAAAGCTAACCAGATTTCATTGAAATTGACAGATCATATTGCCAAAAATCGATGATTAGAATTCCACTTTTTCGAATCTTGCTATGATAGCAATATCTTCTCTACAACCATATTGCTATTTGCAAACAGAATCGACCCGATTGTTATTTGTTGAACATAACCTGAATATAATAAAATATCAAGGTGACAAGAGACTAGAGAGTAGAGACTCCGTGACGACCGTGACCGTGACTCTAGAGAATTCAAACAACCATAACTTTCGGTGGGGGCGCATTAAGCGGCGTTCACAGCCAAACTTCTCACGCTCTGGTTTCGTATTCTGATTGGTGAAGTGGAATATAGAACTAAAATGACATGAGAAGCTGAATATTTTCAGCTTCTTGCGTTGCAAGATGTCATTGTTTATGGAAATCGCAAGTAGTGAATAAAAGCGGCGTTCCCATGCAAATTCTTTACGATTTGCTTTTTACGTTTCGTACGAAGGCGCTGAAGGGCCACCTATACGACTTTAAAGTCGGACCCCCGACTTTAATCTCGGACCCCCGACTTTAAAGTCGGACCCCCGACTTTAATCTCGGACCCCCGACTTTAATCTCGGACCCCCGACTTTAAAGTCGGACCCCCGACTTCAATCTCGGACCCCCGACTTTAATCTCATACCCCCGACTTTAAAGTCGGACCCCCGACTTTAATCTCGGACCCCCCGACTTTAAAGTCGGGATTCAAAAAAAAATAGTATAGGTGGCCCTTCAGCGCCTTCGTAGTTTCGTGTTCTGATTGGTGCAGCAAAATCTGTGATTGAAATGACGCAAAAGGCTGAAAATATTCAGCATTTTGCGTTGATAGAAGCCGTTGTTTCTGGAAATAGTGAAAATAATAGACAAATGAAATTGTTATAAAAATGGAAAATACTACTGTTAGTTCTGATAGAACAATATCATGTATGAAACATTCTATCGAAGTTATGATAATATTTTTGCTCATCCCAGACAGCACTGGATATTCCTAGAATATTCTCTAAATGTGCTAAAAAGGAGGAGTATATTCCGAATATCCATCGATTATTCCTAGAATATATACATGCCTCTGGAACATCTAAAAGGAATATTCCAAAGTGAATAGTCGGGTATGTTCAGGGAATATTCAGGTATGAATTTTCCAGGAATATTTCCAAATGAATATTCCCTCTTGTATATTTATGAAATATTCCCAACTGAATGTTCTGTGGGATCCCTAACAACACGGGATCTTGCTGGTACATCCCGCTAAGGTCCTACAAATGTCCCAATGTTTCAGACTTAGGTACGAGATATCCCAGAGATGTTTCTCTTGGGACATCCATCAGATGTTTTCTTTGGATGTTCTAGAAACATCCCATTCGATTTTTTTTATGAACAATGCCATGGTTCCATATTTGCTAATGATGATTGACATGATTGAACAGTTCAAACAATTGTGACATTTGAAACATTGAAAAGTTGGTAAAAAATGGAAATCAAAACTGTATTCGTACTCATATATACCTATACCAACGCCGGCTAATCTAATCGATAACAAATTGAAATAATTATACTAAATATGCCTATAAATAATATTACGAAAGTACCTGCTCAACTTCATGAACCATGATTGTAATAATCGACAAAATTGAAATATATCTCTTCAGCATATTTATTGCTAAATTTATTTGTTATACCCAGACAGCACTGGATATTCATAGAATATTCTCATCTAAATATGCTAAAAAGGAGGAGTATATTCCGAATATTCATCGATTATTCCTAGAATATATACATGCCTCTGGAACATCTAAAAGGAATATTCCAAAGTGAATAGTCGGACATGTTCAGGGAATATTCAGGTATGAATCCCAGCCAGCACAAAGAGGTCCTAAAGATATCTTGAAGAAATCCTTTTAGGAAATTGTGATGCCTTTTGTAACTTCTTTGAGAGATCGCCGAGAGTGCTATATCTATGCCAAATGTCCGCCACCTAGGCTGAGCTCAGCGAGGTCTTGAAGATATCGCACGCAGAAATTCTCATACAATGCCCTCAGGCGCGCACTTTGAGATATACGCTTCCATCGCCACTGGCGATAACTGAAAGTGCTCGCAATCATGAGCTGTTTGAGAAATTCGCATACATTGCTTTGTGACGAGGACATTGGGAGATTCGCATCAATTGCTTCTGTCGAGGTCTTTAAGTGCTCGCGACTACGAGCTGTTTGAGATTTTCGCACGCATCGCCTTGTAAAGAGAACTTTGGGAAATTCGCATCAATTACTAATAGCGAACTCTTCAAGTGCTCGCTACTATGAATTGGTCAAGAATCCGTGCACATCACCTTATAACAAGGCCTTTAAGAGCGATATTTGCATCAATCGCCACATGATCGCCACTAATATGGTAAGGTGTTCAATGTTTGAGAAGTCATTGGTTATCAGCAGTCTCCTGTCGGCGAAGTCTAACTAGCGCCAGCTATATTGTTTGGGGTGGAGTTAAATTTACTGGATATTTATTTCAGCGAAAAAGATTGAGTTACCAAACTTAGAGTTAGATCAACGTAATGAGCTTTAATTATATATTATTCTATAGCAAGACATTGATCAAGTAAACTTTATCACTTGAAAAAATCTCCGAGGAGTTGGCCGGGTATCCTTTAAAAGAAAAGGTCGTCCGATATCTACCCACGAATTTGAGGTAGATATTTGATTCTCGATCCCACCTGAATTAGAACATTTTTGTCTTTTTCGTCAGAGCAGATAATTAATTATCATTAATTCACTGCAAAATTTGAAATAATCAGTAAGGAAATCTAGTATCTAGTATACAATTATTATTATCATAGATTGATGACTCCCATTTCATGTTAATACTGGGTGTCCCAAGTTATCGTAAAGGTACCTTCAAAAACTTGCTTACTCGACAAGATGAACAAAAAATAGTAAAAATGCTTCAAATGACATCAGAGAACTTTCTTTATGACTCAAAAAAAAGTGTATAAGATTGGACAGCCACCTGGTAGCAACTCCCCAATTTTCATTTAATGGACTCCCTGTATATTGTCATTGAAAATTGCCAATCATCCTATTTCGGGAATGAACGATAGCACATCGGTACTTTGTATTTTGTTCATTAATAACAACATTAACAATAAATTTTTTTGACCTCATTTACGTTACATCGATTGAAAATTGCCTCCTCCCATGTTCGTAAAAATGTCCCACAATGAAATTAGATTAATTATTACACTAGGTAGGTACCGTCTGCAATGATTGATGTTCTGCAGTTCAAAATGGAATATCTGTCATTGATATTTTGAAACAAAAATGCAATCCATACTTCTTATTTGTGAACTTCTTGAACACATGGGTGAAAGCAATTCGTCATTTGAGTAACGTAAAAAAGTCACAAAATGTTCATGTTTTTGTTGTTATCAATATAATTATAATCATTCTTGGGTTTTTAATTGAGGGGCATTATGCATTCACGATTTCTGTTTGAGAAAAATGGTCGATCATTTCTTAAGAAGTTCTGAGCCTATATTCTTTATTTTCATTAAAATTATTTTCCGGAAGAAAAACAAACATTTTCGAAAAAATTCAACTCAATATTTCGATGAAATTCAATGGCTCTGATGTGAATGGATATCAGATATTCCAGGGACACGAATAGGATAGCCTAGGGATGTTCCGGGCGGGATGTTCACTGGACAATCACTGCGGGACATCCCCTGGGATGCTCCCAATCATGTCCTTGTTACACGGGACAAAAAAGGGACGTACCTAGGACAGTCGTAAGGGTATAAGTATTCAATAAGTGATTATTATAGGGACCAGGTCGAACTACTGTCTTCTGTGAATGTCTATACTATTGTCAATGGCCATCATATATGGAATGTCGATGATGTATTTCCCAGGCAACCAGATGACGAATGATCACATCACTGTAACGTCCCTAATTGGTGATTTTCCGTCAGAGACGTCACATACCAATTTATGACGTCATTATGACGTATTTTCTATGACATGATAATCACATCATCACCTCGACGTCGAGTGAGCATCACTTAAATGGGTGAAAATAAGACGTCAGTTTCATGACGTTGCAGAAACGTCCTGTCGACGTCCATTTTTCTCAAACCATCTCTAAGTCGCCACACAGCACAGTATTGTT